GAACTTATTTCAAAATAGCAATAATCTATATACATATATAATGTACAATATTGAAATGTGACTATTTTACAAAATACTAGTGTACTAAAACACAGCCAAGACAAGTTACTTTGTACAGACCAAGGTCAGTTTTATGTTATTGGATACGGTAATATGAGTGCACGTGAGCTGCTGCGTTATTGTAACTTCTGTACTGTTAGCCAGGCACTGCTGAAAGGTCAATATAATAAAAATATATATAAATGTATAATGTTATGAGATACATTTATGTTTTGTGTTATAAATTAAATCTACTGAACCCGTACAGAGATTAGTTACTGAAAATAACAGATAAAATATAAAGTTTTTCTTAAGAAATGTTTGATAACTATCTAGACATGATAAAGATTTTGCATGTGAAATTTGAAAATTTTCTGATGCATAAAAGTACTTTTAATCTTAAAATGAATATTACTTTGCATGATAGATAGGCAACATGCGAAAAGAAAAAAAAAGATGAGAAAAATATGACTTTACAAACCTTAAGACTTAATAATAAAAGTTGATATTTTGCGCATGAAAGCACTGATAATGTTTACTGATAATCTGCCAAATTTTTTTAACATTCTCTTAAAAGTTATAGCATAAAAACTATAAAAAGCACAAAATGGTTATGACGTTGGTCTCAGGGACTGAACCCATGCTGAAAGAGTTACTATATTTTAACACCATAACAAGACCAGTCAAGACTTGTATTCATATCTCATAACAGGCAGTAAATGAATTTTAAAACTACCATTCTAAATTTTAGCACATGATGTATGATTTTAAAGTACTTTTATGGACTAGAGAGTGTTTCCCAACCACTGGGGCACAGATCATTATTTGCCAGGGCACGAAATGTACGAATATTTCACAAAAAAAAAATTAATTTATCAGTAAATTTCACCATTCTTCTGCCTCCAACAATTAACCTTCAACCTTTTGTGACAGGCAGGTCTAAGTGCGCATGTTACGACATTTTAGTGAGTTACATTCAAAATTTAATTAAACTACTTAATTATCATGGTATACGAATAAACTTGACATAAAAACATAGATAATAAATCGTGTTTTGAGTTTTAAGTTCTTAATTTTATAAGTAAAAATTTAAAAACAACCTCAATCACCCTAGTGTAAGAATTGTGACATTTGTTCTCTAGACATTCCCTTTTCTCAAATTTATTTACTACCCCTCCGAGAAGTACGAAATTTAACATAAATTACTACCTATAATGTCATCATCGATCAAGTGAAGCAAAATTTCTATATCCTTCAATCTTAGTTATCTAACACTAAACAGCAATCAAATAGAAAATCAGACCTCTCATGCCACACCCACCTGTCACA